CTGACACACACAGTCCTGTAATTTTTACAAGATGATATGAGAAGAGGAGTTAAGTGATGGAAGGACAGGAGATGTGATTGTATTCTGCTTTATTCAGGGGGTCAAGGTGACGATGCAAGAGCGCACTGCGTTCATCCGGAATACCGAGGGAATTGAAACCCTGGCTTGATTACATGTAATCCTTGTGTCTCAACATTCACTGCATGTTTTACTTTTTGGAAAAACTAATATATAATATATATTTATAATCTGTCTCCATGTCTCTCTCATTCACGTTAATCTCATTTAAAAAACTGTTTTATTATTTGTAAATCTGCAGCTTTCATTAAAATGATCCCTGGTGGTCCTGCCTTTGAAGTCCTTGTTGCAGAACTTTCTGTTATAAGGTGAAAAAACTCTGTCCTTGTCTCCCAATTGTGTACCTGGGTTATCACCCCATTACATTAGCTTCTGAAGAAGACTGCAGGTGCTTACCACACTTAAGTGCCATTCACTTAGATGCTCACACCTGCTTAAATAAAAACATTGTAAACCATTATATATGGTTTGGATGAATATTTTGTAATGGATTTATGAATGGCCGCCTTGACCCGGTAAAAGATGGTTACCATTAAGCAAGTTAAAAACGTTTTCCGCATAACAATACTAATGATAATATAATTGGATAAACGTTGTTATATAGTATCTATACAAAGGTCCCCAACAAACTCTTCCAAATCCACCACTTAGAAACACAGCAATGGCAAAGAGTAAAAAAAAAATGATCACATCGGCCATCGTTTTGAGTGAGTGAAACGAGAGCAAGACTCATTAACTTGTTTCTGATAATGTTCCCATTACTCGTAATGTATTAACACAAGCCATTAAGCCAGGATTTCTCCTGGCAGGAAGCAACGTGAGCAGATGGCACCTCCAGTCTTTATAAATCGGCGATTGGACTTGTTCTTTGGCTTGTTCACACATCTCACCAGGCAAAACACAACCTATTCAAGGAGACACTCTGATGATGGAGCTGTGCTCTAGCTGGAAGAAAGAGAATATTCGCCCCCTCAGCTGAAGGTGCTTTTAATTGATCTTACTTGCTTGGAACACGTTGCAAAAATTGAAGTTCATTTTTATAAACAATGTGCTGGCTGTAAGAGTAAAAGCCTGTGTGGACGAGCTTTAGTTCTTTTCGGAATTGCTTCTCTTCCCCATACAAGTCAATGGAAAGGCAAAAGCAGCTTGAAACCATTTGATGCAGCTTAGAAGAAGGTCAAATGCAGGTCAGATGGGGGTCCATGTCAGCTCAAATGTACCTGTTAATAAGCTGTGAATGATCACCTTAGCATCTCTACATGATGTCACATGCAAGTAGAAGGCACTTGGATGCAGGATGCATTTGACCATCAAAACAAGCCCAAAGCCTGTTGACACGAACCCTAGAACTGCCCAACCCAAAGTCATAAAGTGGAGGTCTCCTTAAACATGCTATTTCGGGCTGAAACATTTGTCATAGTTACATCGTTCTTAAGGTTGAAAAAAGACAGAGGCCCATCCAGTTTAGTGTGTGTGTGTGTGTGCGTGCACGCATGCTGGGGTCAGTAAGAATTCCCATTCCCACATTGTACTTCCTGAGGGAGACATCTAGACGCTTGGTGATGTCTTTGCACATGGGTTCCTAATAGGGATGCGCCAGGTTCAGGCTGAACCCGGTTGAGCCTGAGCTCCTCTGAAACAGGGAAAAAGCTCCTTCCGCTGCCACCCAAGCAGCTGCGGGTGGGGAATTCCCCACCCTCAGCTCAACAAAAGCAAAGGGGCAGGATGGTGTGATGTCATCGACCTTATATGGCCACACGGCTATATTTGAACAATGACATCGGCTTAATATGGCCATGTGACCATGCTTCCCTGTCATTTTATGGAATTGGAATTCGGTGGCTTCACCTCTCATTGACTCCAGTAGCAAAATTGTCTTGCTGTTCTCTTGCTGTTTCTTTTTGTTTTCCACCTAGAAGAAGTGGGTGTTTCCACCATCTTTATTACATTTTTCATAAACATTTACTGATTTACAATCAATATCCACATATTGACCAAGCGAGATGGGAAGACCTGGAAACTGGATTCCCCCCCCAAAAAATGAGAACCCCTTTGTTGGTTTATGCCTCTTGCATCTAACAAATACTGAGTCCATTTTGGGTGGACTGATCTCATGGAGGTCCGACAACACCCAAAGCTGGGAGGGAGTGTTATGTCTTTTGAGCACTAGATGTCGCTGCAGTGTAATGTTAATCTATATTATTTCTCATCTATGACACAGGAAGTTCTATATGTATATATGTTTCCTGTATAATGCTGTTTTTTTGTTTTTTTTTAAACACAATTTTATAAAAACAATTTCAATAGAAAACAAAAAGAAAAACAAAGATATCATTAGCAGGTTACATACAAGGTGCATATCCCAGTATAGTAAACAGCATATATGTAAGTTGTGCCAAATAAGAAGTGCCGCCATCTCTCCACATAATCTACTGCATACAGTGACAGGCAACATAGAAGTCATGGATCGGCAAGGGGCGAAGTCTGGGCAGAATATCAGGTAGGGATAAAATAACCTAATCCTAATCTAGATGCAGACTCCCCAGTGCATTCGACACATCTGCTTTTAAATACCAATTAGTGTAGCTGAAGGGCCGAACCAGGTGGGCGACTTCCATTGCTGTAAGAGATTTTACAATTAAAGTATTTCCATCTCTGGAAAAAGGTATGGCTATGGCTAAAGGTAAGCCTCAGTTCCTGGAACAAAAGATCTTCTGTTTGTTATAGAATACAATTATTATATGACCTATTGCACCTCCCATATCCTAGCGCCGAACATTCTCAATTTTCAACAGCTACTTACACGAAATGTTACTGTAAAATTATTCCTGATATTAATAATACTTAGATTTAATTCACTGTTTCCAGTCTCTGCCACCGCTGGAGCTCTAATCAAATTCACAGATAATTAACTTTTCCCCCCACAGCTGATACTTGTGATGAGTTTGGGAGGTTTAAAACAGTCTGTGAATAGTCAAGGAATACTTCTAGGGAAGAAAAGTTGAGGGCCCCTTTACAGTGTTGCAGTGTGTTGACCTGCATTGCGTTAAGGCAGCTGGGATTTCACTCAAAATTTAGGTTGCAACATTTGTTATGTGATACAATACAACAAAACACACTATGGTGGGTTGCTCTGCATGGAGGGCACAATGCATGTGCATTGCCTTAGTGCATTGGGATGCCATTCAAAATAGTAGCACAACTCAGCATTGTATGTAACGTTCATTAACACAATGTTTCAACACATTAATGGAAACCTTTACTTGCCAAAGGATTGCTAACTATGTTTCATAGCCTGGCTATCAAACTCCTCTGTGGAAGTAGTATCATAGCTTGATCAGACCCCCCTTCCCTCCATCCTCTCCCATCCTTCTGATTCAACAATGAGGCAGCAGCCCAGTGTCCAGTCATCACTCTGCTCTCTCGCCTTGTTAGCGTGTTCACGGTAGTAGACTGACAACACTGTACACTAAAGCCTTAGTAGGCTGATTAGTTTCTAGTGCTCTGCATGGGATTACAGGGGGGCTGATACTGAGACGTATTAATGAGTTTACACCTTTTAAAAATAAATTTAAAGTGTGTGTGTGTGTGTGTGTGTGTTTGTGTATAGTCAAAACTTTTGTTTCTACATTTTTGGGTAGAGTTGAAGGGTTAAAACCCGTGAACTTATTTTTTTGCTGTTTGTGTCCCATTGAGGAGATTTCCTTTCACTTCCTGTCATGGAAATGCACCAGGTAATCCGAGGACGTCTAGCACAAAGTGAGGGGAATTCTCCTTTTAGATAGTTGTCACCTAAACAGGCATCCCCATTGGACAGAATTCCTCTTGCCCCCACTTCTGCAGCCTCTTCTTTGGATTTCCAATCAATTTTTGTCCAAATGGCAATGGTCACAGGAACAAACATAGAGGGCGAATCTACCAGGCGGGGTCACAGACTGCTAGGGCCCCCCATTTGGAATTGCAGGGCCCTATACTGTATATCCGATCTTGAACCCAGTACCTAGCACCAGTAATTAGGTACTCCCCTCCCAGTCCTGCACTGTCAATCAGTCGCAGAGGGAAGCAGATGCATGTTAAGAGGCGGGCCCCTCTGCTGACATAATGGGTCCAGGATCTGATAATGCGGTAATGCACGTACCACCCCTATTGGTGGCCTTGCAGACATCCGTAAGAATCTGACAGAGCTTCTTACCCTTTTACACTCCATGCAAGAATTAAAAAAAAAATCAGTTTTGGCTATACATACACCAAGGTTAATTTTTATAATTAAATAGTTACATAGTATTTGAGGTTGAAAAAAGACACCGGTCCCATCAAGTTCAACCTTTTGTGTGTGTGGGTGTTTCTTGTGCATGCATATGTGTATATAGGAGTCCATGTGTGGTCTAGTATTTAAGTGTACCTGTACCCCTGTATATTACGGTCTCTTATGATGGATTCATAGCTTAGATCCTCCATCCCCTTCATTGGTTTGTTTGCTAATAATAATAATAATAATGAATACATAAGTGCTCTAGTGGGCATGCTTTTCTATCTTCCAGAAGGTCAACTGTATTAATAAATGAAAAAAAACACAAACACATCACATCCGTATAACAAGAAGGCTGCTGAGTAAATAGACCTCTGTTATACTGATATTACCCACCGGTCATTGTGTCAAGAAAAAGGGGCCCAAGAGACAATAAGGGATCAAGAAAAAGAGATTGCAGTTGGGTCATGGGACGCATTGGGCATGGGGTAAACTACCTACAGATCAGATTTTGCAGAGGTTGCTTATTATTTGTAATGATAATTCCTTGTTGGGGAAAAAAAAAGTGTTTACTGAACCTTTGCCGCAGCTGATTCAGCATTTTATGTTGTTGTATTTATTTTCACATTGTTGCTTTTCATTGATTTTCTCTCTTTTCAACTTCTCTCTGCAGGTGTCTTGTATGCAGTTCATAAACGCCCTCCTGACCTCTCCGGAAGATCTGGACTTCCGGATACACCTGAGGAATGAATTCTTAAGATGCGGGTTAAAGCATATATTACCTGTAAGTTGGGACCTTTCTCTGTTGTTCTTCACACACTAGTACGAGCTCAGGAAAAGTCGTTTTAATTAATCTGGAGTTTAACCTTAAAGAAGTATACCAGAGGACAAAACCTTTTTTTTGGGGGGTGGGGGTTTAGAAAGACTAGATGCGGGTTAAAACCATTATCTAGCTTAGCCTTTCTCAAACTTTTTATTTTACTCTAGGGGAAGCCTTGACATAATTTTCAGGTCTCACGGAACCCCTGCTAAAATTAAATTATTGGCGGTTAGTGGGAAGAATTCCCCTTACGTTGACGGTCAGTGGGATGATTGTTCCTTACATTGGTGGTCAGTGAGAAGAATGGTCCTTATATTGGTGGTCAGTAGGAAGAATGGCCCTTATATTGATGGTCAGTGGGAAGAATGGCCTCTGCATTGGTGGTTGGTGGGAGGAATGGCCCTGGGATCATTGGTCAGTGGGAAGAATGGCCCTTATATTGATGGTCAGTGAGACGAATGGCCCTTATATTGGTGGTCAGTAGGAAGAATGGCCCTTATATTGGTGGTCACTGGGAAGAATGCTCTTTACATTGGTGTTCAGTAGGAAGAATGCCCACTTACAATTGTGGTTAAAATGCCACCTTTATAGATGGCAAAAAAGATCCTTGGTGTCATTGGACCCAAATCTATGTAGGCACCTTAAGATGGGAGGCCAGTCTGCCACAGCTCAAGTGACCCAGTGCACCTCAGGAGGAACCCTAGGGTCTTAACCATTCCCTCCTATAGTGTATGTAAACCATAACAATGAACTTCTATTTGCTGCTTTCTTTAGGTCTATTAAATATACAATTGAAAGTGTTTTGTGACATCTATCGACATAAGTTCAGAAAAATAACTGCTGATCCTGCTAAAAATTTTGTGAGCTTTGAATGTTCTGTGTTCTCTGCCAGAGCTGAATTTATCAATTACATTGCCCTTGGAGGACTGCAGAACCACATCCTTTTTATGTTATGGACAATAGTAGGGGTGGGGTTCTGCAGGTCTTATGTTTCTATTGTCCTGAAACAGGAGCGTGAGTGAGCGTTGTCACCCTGGAACAAGAGTTAAATGAAGGGGGAAAAGGGCTTTCAAAAAAAAGAAAACTAATGCAGCCGCCACTATGGAATGCTAAGCTACAATGTTTTACATTTTCCTTTTTGGATTTAGATACATTTCTATAAAAAAAAATAGTAGAAAAATCTTTTGGCTAGAGATGCACTTTATTCTTTAATAATGTAAGAGATGGATATAAAATGATCACAGTAGGTATAGGAATTAAAGGCCCACACCAATTAAAATACACTGCCTGGTCCCAAAAAAAGTCACACACTCTAATATCTCATTGGACTGCCTTCAGCTTTGATTTCGGCACGCATTCGCCGTGTCATCATTTCAATAAGCTTATACAATGTTACAACATCTATTTCCATCCAGAGTTGCATTCATTTTGTCACCAAGATCTTGTAGTGATGATGGGAGAGTCCGAGCTTTGCGTAAAGTCTTCTTCAGCACATCCCAAAGATTCTCAATGGGGTTAAGGTCTGGACTCTGTGGTGTCCAATCCTTGTGTGACAATGATGTCTCATGCTCCCTGAACCACTCTTTCACAATCTGAGCCCGATGAATCCTGGCATTGTCATCCTGGAATATGCCCAATGTGCCATCAGGGAAGAAAACATCCATTGCTGGAAAAACCTGGTCGTTCAGTATATTCAGGGAGGCAGCTGACCTCATTTTTTGGGGACATAACTTTGCTGAACATTAGACCTGACCAAGTGAAGCAACCCCAGATCATAACACTGCCAAGATCCAGGTGGTGACTTTTTTGGGGGCCAGGCAGTGTATGATAATTTGATATTTAAATTATATCTAGTATATCTATGTACCTAGTACAGTAATGGACCCTTGACCCTTAGTGTATTAGCCTAGACCTCCGGAGCTGCCATACCCTACAATGCAGCGTGTAATAAACCGTGCAGCCTTCACTATCTCCCATACATCGAATTATGTCATCCTCTATCTTGTCACCTTGCAGTAAACAAATGCAGCTTTTAAGAAGTATTAAAAAGAGCCCTCTCCCTTTTTTTTTTTTGGTGGACCAATGCTCAGGGGAAGAATTAAAGCTTGTTCGAGCGGATGCATGGCAAAGACATTTGACAGCCTTGGGGTCAGATCCCAGCTGCGACGGTCTCTGCGCCCCTCTCCAAGTTCACCGCACATTCTCTTTAACGTTATTGTTTCCAGCAGTGTGTGCCGAGGAGACAATTTAAATTGAGTTGACCATAAAATGGTCTGTTTCCTTAATTGAATAACTCGGGGATATATTTACGTTAAATGTGTTCTGTGTCACATACAGTCTCGCTCATGTAGAATGCCTGGTGTCGCTTTCTTTAAACACTCAGGTGGCCCACTGCGTTCCGGGCTGTAAAATGACTATTTCTATCTTTTTATAGAAGTCGAATTACCGTCAATGATTTCTCTTTCTCTTCTACACAATGGAAGTAGAATTACATTAAGTCCTGTTATATTTTTGGGGAAGGTAGGGGGTGTTTGTCAACAGGACCTTCTGTGGTAGGCATGTGCGATTCGTTTAGTTCAGATTTTCCGAAATTTGGACATTCGGACACATCCGAATTTCCGTTTCTGACTTTTGGATCCCGTCCGAATTTTGTTCAAAAACGAAACAGAATCGGACATGTGACTTTTCTGGGCCATCAGATGTGTTTTTCAGTTTAATTCATCCGAATGGGTCTGAACACAAATTTTCATTACGGCAACATGGGAGCCATATACAGAATATACATATAATACTAAAGCTGAGGCTCCCAGACCCGAATGGCATTCGGGATCGGAAATTCCGAATTGCATTGGGGAGCTCCTAATGCCATTCGGGTCTGGGAGCCTCAGCTTTAGTAATATATGTATATGGCTCCCAGACCCGAATAGCATTCGGAATCCGAATTGCATTGGGGAGCTCCTGTTCGGTTATTTCGGGATTCGGATCTGAAATTCAATTTGTTTCGGATTCGGACGAAATCTGAATTTTCATTCAATTCGGATGAGTTTACGAATATTCGTTGCCAATACCACAGAAAACCATATACAGATATTAATACTAAAGCTGAATCTACTAGACCTGGAATCCAAATTTCCCAATTGCATTCAGGAGCTCCCGAATGCCATTCGGGTCTAGGAACCTCAGCTTTAGTAATATATGTATATGACTCCCAGACCCGAATGGCATTCGGGAGCTCCCGAATGCAATTGTGAAATTCGGATTCCAGGTCTAGGAGATTCAGCTTTAGTATTAATATCTCTATATGGTTTTCTGTGGTATTGGCAACGAATATTCGTAAACTTATCCGAATCGAATGAAAATTCGGATTTCGTCCGAATCCGAAACCCCGAACCGAATTGCATTTCGGATCCAAATTCCGAAAATAACCGAATCGGATTTTTTTCGCAGCTTTCATGTCTATTCTGTGGCACAACATTTTGTAATGCATCTGTCTCAAGGTGCGGTAGAAAAATACATTTTGGGAGAAATATCATTTTGTCAACAAAAATAGTTTTGTGAACTCACAATAAATTTCTTGCCACAGAGAGAGCCGATTGGCTGATAGAACGCATCTAAATCTCTAAAACCTATTGCTTTTCCAGGGGTTCCCGAAGCCAGGCTACCCTACGGTCAAGAAGATGGAATTTTACTTGATTCCCTTTCTTCTTTGATTAATAATAGTTTTTCATGTGTAAAATTCTGATGAATGGGGGAGGGTCTAAAGGTCCCCGAAGCATATTGACATTTTTTCTACTTGATAGCCATGTGATAATAGTTATGCGTAAAATGAAATTGTGCCACTAGCAGTTTATGCAGCGCAGATCCTTGAGGAAGGAAGAAGGTCTGTATTTCCCGAACCGCGTTAGCTTTCTTTCTACTGATTACCTAAGACAACATCATTTTGGACTCTTTGACCATTAATGTGGCACTCTTAGTCAAGTTGTTATGCCCTCAGAGTACCTTGGCAGTGCTATTAAATAAACAATAGATGAGGCATTTTTAGTGGAATATTGAAGTGTATCTAAACACAAGAACAAAGTTATGACAACAGCTTACCGGTTCTTAGATGTAATGGCTGCATTAGTTTTCTTTTTTCATCTTTTTTCCCCCCCATTTATGTACACCTAGTGATCCTGCCAGTAACACACTTCCTGTCCTAGGGTGACAACGGTCACTGATTGAGGATCAGTATTGTCACTCTGCTACAGGAAGTGCGTTAGGACTACAAAATACCTCTGCTTTCTTCTTCTCCATAACATGAGGGTGGGGTTCGGTAGTCCTCATCAGTGGAGAACAATGCTACCTGATCACAGTCAGCACAGGAAGTTATCAGTTGACAATATTTCGGGCAGGATCAACGCCCATGGAACAGATCGAACAAAACGCTTTCAATGGTATATTTAACAAACCCAAAAGGAGGTATATAGGAGAAGCTCATTGTTGGGGTTTACATTCCCTTGAATGCCTGATATTTCATTTTGCGCGGCGCGCCCTTTTAACCCTCTCCCATTTTGTACGCTGGCGACGGCGGCATAAAATCAGTTGTATAATTTTGCGGCGCAGCAGAAATGTTTGTGCACGGCGTAACATCCATTTATTAAGCCATGAATAATAAAATCACATTTCAGAGCCGGCGAGGAGCGTCAGTAACGCGGGTTACGTCGTCCCTCGCCGCGATGGAAGTTTGACTGGCAGCGCAAGCACAAAATATGCAAACAAACCGAATTCTCCAACTATTTAATTATCGCATTACAAGGAGAAAAAAAAAAGCTGCAGAAGGCAGCCGGAGAAACCGAATCATTGTTCCACTTTATTGTTTGTGAAGAAGTGAAGGAGCAACTTGGATGTTAAATCTTTTGTATCATTTTATAACAAGACATTTACAGAACGGATGGCGAGTCAAATCCTTCATCGCTGCAAAAGGC